CTTTAGATTGTTTAAGCTATTTGGTATATTAAAACAAATTGTATGTAACCCGGTGAAATTTATAGTACATGTGTTCCACAGAAGACAGTAATTGATAAATTAAACATCTCACTCTGTGGGAGAAGTCTATTAAAATTCCTAAATTTTTAGATTTTTTTGTCTATAAGCTTTTATTAATTCACCTGTATCACAAAAATATAACCTTTTAATATTATAAAATTTAAAGTACATATATTTGTCAAGTTCCTCTAACGTGAAAGTGAAATTCACTCTGTCGTGTCTGACTCTTTGCGACCCCATGGACTATATAGTCCATGGAATTCTCCAGGTCAGAATACTGGAGTGGGTAGCCTTTCCTTGTGTGTGTGTGTGTGTGTGTATACGTACACACACATATTAATATATTTTTCATATTCTTTTCCATTATGGTTTATTACAGAATAATATAGTTCCCTGTGCTATACAGTAGGACCTTGTTGTAATCTGTTTTATATATAGTACTTTGTATCTGCTAATCCAAAACTCTTAATTTATCCCTCCACACCCTCTTTGGTATCTGTAAATTCATTTTCTGTGTCTGAGTCTAGTTTTAGTTTTTAAATAAGTTCATTCATATATTTTATTGTTCATATATAAGTGACATCATATGATATTTGTCTTTCTCTTTTTGTCTTAGTATAGTAATCTCTAGGTCCATCCATGTTACTGCAAATGGCATAAGTTCCTTATTTTTACAACTGTATAGTATTCCATCATGTATCTATCTATATACCACATCTTTATCCATTCATTTGCTGATGGACCTTTAGGTTGCTTCCTTCTTGCCTTGGCCATTATGAGTAGTGCTCCCACGAACACTGGGGTGCTGGAACCTTTTCACATTAGCGCTTTCTCCAGACATATGCCCAGTATATTGCCAGATCGCATGGCAACTCTAGCTTTTTTAAGGAACCTCCGTATTGCTTTTCGTATTGGCTGCACCAGGTTATGTTCCTACCAACAATGTAGGAGGAGCCCCTTCTCTGCAGCTCCTCTCCAGCACTTGTTTCTTACAGACGTTTTGATAATGCTCATGCTGACTGGCTTCAGGTGATACCTTATTGTAGTTTTGATTTGCATTTCTCTGATACTTAGCAAAGTTGAGTATCTTTTCATGTGCCTGTTGGTGCATCTTTATGTTTTCTTGAGTATTCTGCCCAGTTTTCAATTGGATTGTTTGTTTTGTTACTGAATTGTACGAGCTGTTTTTATATTTACAAATACTATTTTTAATGATGAATCAACAGGAGCAATGTTTTTTAGTCTAATAAACTCTCCTTTACCATGCAAAGTTGACCTCACAAGAAAGTAACTTCGGGATAAAAAATAATAGTAAATGATTGCTAGCATTGGGAGACAGTTTCCTAAATTATCTGTTCATTTGTAGATTCAGCATGTATTTGTTGAGCTACTGCTATATAGTGATACAGTGGTAGCCAAATGATATTCTAGGCAACAGTGAACCAAACTGAAAAATAAAGCTAATTCTTACAGATTTTTGAGGAGGTGGTGGTGGTGAGAGGAAGAAGCAGACAAGCATGTATGTAATGATAAGTACTAGGAAGAAAAATACATTAATTAGAAGAGTACAAGTATACCTAGACCTATTAAACATCAGCAAGTCAGAAAATTAATTTTTAAATCAATACAAAAATTAATTTTCTGACTTGCTGATGTTTAATAGGTCTAGGTATACTTGTACTCTTCTAATTAATGTATTTTTCTTCCTAATACAATAAATTTCACTCCTAAGAATAGGTAAAAGAAAATTTAATAGTGATAAATACCCCCAAATCAGTCTGTTATCCAAAGAGTAGCTAAAGGGGTTTGACGCCTCAGTGGCCTCCGTGGTTCTTCACATCGTGGGCAGAGGCTGCCCCATGCCTGCCTCAGGCTTGACACCCTCCGTGCCTCTGCATACTCACTACATTACAACTGCATTGACCTTTTTTGTTGTCCTTGTTCCTCAAACACATGAAGCTCCTTTCTGCATCACAACTTGAGCTTGTATTGTTCTACCTTGAATCTACCTCTTGACCCCACCCTACCTGCAAATCCAGCTAATTCCTAAATGTTATTTCTGCAAGACGCCAATTCTGGGTGAACCCCCCCCCCCCCCCCCCCTCCNCTCACTGTCCCAGCATCTTTACCTTTTTGAAATTCTTTACATTTAAAGTGTGTATCATACATCCTCTGTATGTATGTTTTTATCACTCTCTCTTTCATTAGCCTGCGAGCTCTGTGGGCTGAGGTGTGGCGGGCACTAGAGGAAGCTGTTTGTCTGCTTGCAAGTGAGCACTCACTCTTGCACCCTGCCTGACATGAATAAGCGTTTAGAAAATTGCTTCTAAGAGAAAGAATGAATTTCCATCAAAAGTGTCTTAGGTTTACAACACATGGTTTTATGTAACACATTGTAAAGCAGGTTCTGATGGGAGTTGGTAATATCCTTTTAAACTATGTGACTGAGCTAAATGATTCTAGTTGAATCTTTTGTTTTTAAATCTGTGTTACACCCTGTTCCTGCCCCAGACTCTGCTGGAAGTCTACTGCTTGCTTGCAGGCTCATAGTCCCAAAGACAGATGTTTTTCAATCTTTGCTATTTGGCTTCCAAAATGGGTATATATTACTAACTCTTGTGTTCTCACCAACATTTAGAAAGTGACTCTGGGGACTGTGCTCTGAGAAATCAAATACTTTCTGGGACTTGTAGCCATGGGAGAGAGGGTTTTAATGCTTTCTGTTGAGAAAAGTCATTTTATGCTTGTAATCATTGTTGGAAAGAAGATGCAATTGTGAAAAGCTACAATTGGGTGAACTAATAAATCATTGCAGAGAGCAATATAGATCAGGACTTTATTATTCCATCCCCTCACCTCACATGAGTGATGGGCACCCTCATCAATGTGCATAAACACACAGTAGTTTTTCTACATTTTTCCAAATGAGAACGTAGAATTATCTTTGAGGATGGGAAGAATCATTTATCAATGCCTACCATATCCTAACTCTCCATTATGGCACTTAACCTATTGGTTGTAATAGTTTATATTCTCATCTGTCTCCAGTTCTTTCAGAGGCAAGAAAGTATCTCTTCCCATTTTTTATCCCGAGACCTACCTGGCCAACAACAACAACAAATTGTCCACAGTAGACTTTCAATTAATATTTGTTAAATATAACGGGAACAGCATGAGCTGAAGTCAGCCTTCCCTTGTCTGTCTCAGCCAGGCAATATGGAGCTCAGACGCCACTCAAGGAGTTATGTTCTCTTATGCATCTTCTCTTCCTTGGAACCAACAACTAAGGATTTCGCAAACCCAAAAGATTTTCCATCATGGATGTAAGACAGAACGATTCTAGTCCATCAGTTGGCAAAGAGGACTCCTTAATAACGGCAGCGGAACTATAAAATGCTATTCAGAATATAAGGAAAGCTGTAGGGGATTGTGTATTCATTTAACTTGTAGTAGGAAAATGTGAATCCTCAAATAACAGGGTGTTTCCATGTTAGCTTTCTCCAGAGAACTGAAACTCTAACTGTAAAGAGAGCAGAATGGTCTGATAAGTATCAGAGCCGCTGGAATCAGCAGAACCTCCGTTCTTAATGGGAGTTACAAGATGCAACTGATAACTTAAAGCCTCCCCGTGTGTGTCCACATTTGTGAATGAGTTCTGCTACTTTACTTTTGAGATTTCTTATTCTAAAATAATTATTTAAAAATCTCAAATATAAGATAGGTTTTTCTGTTTCTGAGAACATATAAATGCAATAAAAAGTGTATTAAAGAAACAATAAAAGGAGATGGAAAGAATAGGAAAAAAAGATTGAGAAGAAAGGAGGGAGGAGAAAAGGATAAAAGAAGCAGGGAAGGAAGGGAATTATGAAAATATTTGATAGACCTCCTCCACAACTCAAATGCTTTTGTATGTGCAGGATTTCTGTGTCCTTCCTAAGGTAAATAGCGATGCCTTTCCTTTTTATTAGCATGGTTGCAGCTGCTGTTGCTTACAAAGAGATTCACAAATCAAAATAGACTCAGTTAGCTTTTCAATAATTCTAAAAGGTGGGGGAACACTGCCAGAGTAGCTCCCGTATCCTAACAAGGAGCCTTGTTAGCAAAACAAAGTGTGAATTGCTTAGAGATAATTCCCTGCAGGTGGTAATTCCTCTGGGTGCCTTCCGTGGCAGCACATGCTATTTCTCCTCTACGGAGCAATGCTGTGGAATAGGCTATGATGGAAGAAACAGGGGAAAGTTGCTTTCTTTTCTTTTTTCTTTTAATTGGAGTATAATTGCTTTACAAGTGTTTGTGTTTGTGCCTGCTGTAAACACGTGAATCAGCTGTGTGTGTATATATCCCTTCGCTCCTGGTCCTCCCTCCCACCCCCAGCACCTTCCCCTCCCCGCCCCTCTAGGTTATCAGAGTAAACCACCCAAGTATTCAGCAGCTTCTCCCCAGCCTGATGTTTTACAAACAGTAGTGTGTATATACAGGTCAGTGCCCCTCTCTCCATTTGTCTCTCCCTCTTCTTTCCCCCCGTGTCCACAAGGCTCTAGTGTTTTTAAATTTGAAATCGTGTTAACGTGATATTAGAATGAATAATGATGTCAGTAATAGTACTCTCCACATCTGCATCTCTCTCCCTGCCCTGGAAGTAGGAACAACTCTTTGACATAAATCGCAGCAAGATCCTTTTTGACCCACCTTCTAGAAGAATGAAAAAAGTTGTTTTCTTGAAACATTTGTTCTTCCAGAGATTTTTCTTTATGTCTGCATGATTCATACTTCTTGGTTCTTAGCCTGGAGCACCTAATGCAACCTGGGATTGAGGAAGCTAGAGCTGGATGTGTATAATGAATGGGTTGCCTCTGCAAAAGTCTATATACACAGTAGCGAAGGTGAGTACAGAGTTGCAGGCCAGCATTTTTATGAATGTTTTAATTCTTTCTCTCCAGGAAAACAGGGAAAACAAGAACTAGCAAGAGCTTGACAAACACCTGGCTTCAGATTGGAAGACCAGTCACCTGTCATTCCTGGACACTGCACTGCAGCTGTCTAAGGTACATGGAAAAAACAGAAACTTTGATGTATTTTGTTGATTATCTTGTGATATGTGGAAGAAAAATGCATTTGTATGGAAAGTCATAAGACTGTATCTCCTACTTCAAATGAATATTTTTTTGACAGTAAACGAAATAGTATTATTCATATCTTTTGAAATTGCTCCTGGTTTTAATGTCCTTGACGTGCGAGTTTAGTTGATGGGGCCCTGGCCACCTCCATGACATTGCTGCCTGCTCCCATTCTCATTCTGTACTTCATCAGATCCAAAGTTGTCATGGTTCATTATCTGTAGATGATCTTGAGCAGCCTTGCATTCTGAAAGAATATGCCATAGCATCTGCCTCTGTGCTTCTGTGCCCTGCTATTCAGATGAGATTTTAGCAACAGTATTGGGTAAGGGGAGGGGATGGAGGCAGAATTTGTCCCAGGCTGATGTATTTTTGTGCCACACTATGTCCTACTCTTTCCTGTAAGCCGAATTCAGCAATGAAGAACATACATCATATTGTGACTATTACATATGTTAGAGTACGTAATTGCAGTTGTAAAGTATCTGCTTGAATGTCCTAACTAATGAATTCCATCAAATTCAATTATCATTCTTAGACTCTTCATTAACCAATCAAATTGCTTCTTTGGTCTCTTATGTCTAACACCTTTTCCCTAGTCATAAACAAGATTCTCTGAAGTAAATTGGAGGTGATTAAATTATCTCACTTATTATTACTGGGAATACCATGTTACTGAAGTTTTGGATTTCTAAAGAATCACCTTTCACATGATTCTCATTGTATACAGGGGAAATAATGTTATAGTACGAGGCTGTGTCTTGGACTTTATTCTTCTATTTGCATCTTAGTTTTTTCATCCTGAGGAAGTTGGCTACAGTAGGTCTCCAATACTAAAACCATACACAAATAAAACCATGATATACTCCTGAAAATTCATCACCTTATTAAATAAATCTGTCCAGTAGGCTTGTGTTATAAAACGGTTCTTCACCTTTGGGGAATGAACCATTGCAATACTAGAAGTTTCTCTTATCACTGATGCAGTATGATTTTATAGGATGACTGTAACTGCTGAAACATTTTTTTCTAATTTTTATGATTTCCCTACACAGATTATTAAAACATATGCAGTGACTCTGAAACTGCATATTACCAGGACTCAAAAGTAGTTTCCTAGGTAATAATTGTCACCGCGAATATATAATGGTTATCTCAATCATTGTATAATGAAAGACACTGCTGCTCTTCTGACAGTGTGGTTCTCACCATACAGTTCTTAAAATATTTCCATTTTGTTCCCTTCTACTTTGATGCCTTTAAAAATAGTTTCATCTTCTACTCTGCAAATATTTTGAGAAACATCTCAAAATGTAGCCTGAAGCAAACCTAAGAAAATGACTATTCCTGCGTTCCATATGAATCTTTGGTAATGGTCTCTAGAATCAGCCTTTTAAATATGTATCTCAGATCATCTCAGAGCACCGCAATAGTCTTCAATGTGGCAGCAAGGAGACAGACAAGAGGAAAACATTGTAAAGCTATAGACATGTAATTGACATGAAAATACTGAAAACAAATTAGGATTTTTAGTTTTCCTACATATTTTTAATTCCTAGGGCTGTACAAAGGATTTTAGACAGTTTTTTCCTTTCATTTGAGTCTTAAACATTTTGAAATTAAAAATCAAATATTAGAGATGTTAAGGAGATAAACATTTGTCACCAAATAGTAAATGATCTCTGTGATAGTAAAGTGTATTAAATTCATATTTGTACAATTATTATTTTCACACTTGAATCTAGCTTTATGAAGTTTTCAAATATCAAGTCATTCTTTCAATATTAGATATGTCTAACAAGCATCATTTCTTTAAGAATTCCAGTCTGTACTTTTGTTATGCTTTCCACTGAGATAACTCCTGTGGGTGTCCAACTTTCAAAAGATAATTTATTGGTACAACTAAGTAAAACCTTTTGGCTCAGGATACCCCATCTATTCATAAGTGAATTTTTTTTTCCTGTTATCTGATTTTAGTGAGGGAATTTCCTAATGTCAGACAGTTTGCCAACTTAAAATGCCAAATTCTGAAGTATATATTGAAGTTAGAAGGGACAAAGGACTGTCTCTGAGCCATGAAAACAGGAAATGTTGTGATTACCTCTGGCACTGGATGAGTGCAAAAACGCAACATTAGATTTAACAGAGAAACTGTAGAGACTATTTGGCCTATAAAATTAATTCTTGTTTCCTACGTTGTAGAATCTACTGAGACACAGGTTAAAAGGGGCAATGATTAAAATCTTTAGGTTTTCAGGTGTACTTACTTTACAAAAGTAAACATGTCCTGAAATAGTTGGAATAATTTGTCTCCCAAATTCATAAGAATCTTTTTATCCATAAAATATTCCTGGTTTCAACTGCTTTTAAAAATCACATTTACAGCACAGGCAGACATTCAATTCAATTGGGTTGTATTTAAAAAGTTTAACTTATAAGTTGAATATTTAGAACTCAAAACATTTTCCCATACATATAATGCTATAAATGATGTTGGATGCTCACATTCAATTTTTTTTTAATTCACAAAATTATAGTCAAATTATGTGATTTGTAAAAGAAACAGCTCTGAAGTGGAAAATAGTAGAAAACAATACTATATGATTCTAAAAAGTAAACCAATTAAACAAAATATTTTTAAATACTTGTTTGCTTTGAATTATCAACACTAAAGAAAAACATGTTTGATTATAAGTAAATGAGAAAATGAAAGAGAGGGTAGGAGATTTTTGTAAAACACCAAGATAGTAGCTATAACATGAGTAGTATTCTTCTGAACAGAGGAAAAGTAGGAAGAAAAGAGAAGCTCGGAAGAGATAGTGGAGAAGGAAATGGCAACCCACTCCAGTGTTCTTGCCTGGAGAATCCCAGCCAGGGACAGGTGGGCTGCAGTCGATGGGGTCACACAGAGTCGGACACGACTGAAGCGACTTAGCAGAAGCAGCAGCAGCAGGAAGAGATAGAGCTTGAGGAGCAAGTGGTATCAAATACAGGTACCCAAGCAGTATTAAACTTACTGTTAAGTAGAGAAGGTGCTTGTTAATGGTCTGTTTATCACTCAAGGAAACAGGTGTGTGTGTGTGTGTGTGTGTGTGTGTGTGTGTGTGTGTGTGCGCGCGCGCGCGCGCGCGCACGCACGCATGTTTAGTCCCTCAGTTGTGTTCGATTCTTTGCAACCCCATGGACTGTGGTCTGCCTGGCTCCTCTGTCCATGGAATTTTTCCAGGCAAGAATACTGGAACAGTTGCCATTTCCTACTCCAAAGGATCTTCCCAACCCAGGGATTGTATATGTGTCTCTGGTGTCTTCTGCATAGGTAGGCAGATTCTTTTACCACTAGCATCAGATGCATTCAGTTTTTTAAGTGGATCGATCCACATTGTAGGTTCCCATCCATTTAGAAAGCAGATCAGGAGAAATGTTTAAGCAGAGACAGAGAGCATGAATTAATTCAGTGGACATTAGCAAGTGGTATGGAAAGTGAGCACTGGTGATCTCGTAGCCTTATAGCAGCAGCGTTTGCTCTCAGTGACTCAAGCTACCACTCAAGGTTTTGTTGGACCCCACTGTCTAAGGTATTCTATCCTCTGTGACTTTCAAAAAATGCAGCATCATGTTCAACTGGACTTTGGACCTATTTGCTGCGTTTAACCCTACAGTTTTTCTTTAATTTGCCAAGTATTTTTTGAATACCTACTGTGTTTTAGGTACTTCGCTAAATTTGCTACTTTTAGACCAGACTTTAGACCAAAGAGAATATTCACTCTATTTGAATTTTAGTATTTTCTATTTTACTATTTCTCTTTGTTTCTTATTCATTAAACTTGGACTGTTTGAGAAAACAGAGAGCATCTGTACCTGGGATGGTGACGGGGAGTCTAGATAACCCGTGGAAAGGGGCCCCAATAAGGGCATATCTGTCTTATTCCTCCTCTCTTCTCTGGAGGTCAAGGAAGTCTTAGCAACTCTGAGTCCCCTTTATGTTTATTTAACCTAAAGAACAAGTGGTAGAGGTGGAAAGGAAAACAGAACTATATCCTCATGACTAAAATTCTTCCTTCAAAGAAAAACTGATAACTGCAAAATAAACGCCTGTAATCATTAGCATCTCTTGATTTGATCAAGTCTCAATACTAAGCTAATCTGCAGTGTAAGAAGCAAGAAGTTAGATACCTTTCCTGGAAAAAGTGTACCTAACACTTCATTGGTTCTAATTTTTAGTAAAATAAAATGTCTAAAAGTTTTCAGAATCTCTATTACTATTTAGGTTGAGGCACAACCAAAATTATCATGTAGGTTCCTAAAATCCCTCTTCACTCCAGAAATTCCACTGGAGGGGGGAATGGTTCTTTTTCCTTTGAAGAGATTTTTAATGTAAAACATCCCTCTTTCCCAATCCATTCTCAAGAGTGAAGGATAAAATGGGGTATTGGTAACATTCAAAGGAAAGTCTTAAACAGGAATGGTCAATGTCTGCATTGAGTTATTTCTGTCTCTGCTTCACAGCTTTCAAAAACCACTATACCTCTGGCTTAATAAGACAACAGTGGTACTGCCACTCAACCTTGTGTGAGTTTCCCAAATGCTTTTGTTCCTCCATCCCTTTGAAGTGACACTTGAAATTGCTTGACCAACCCTATATCACCAGTTATCATCACATATAAGCTTGTCGGATGTTTCATAGGTTTTTAACCAATATATCTTTGTTCTCTACTAGCCCTTGGCACAATAAACCTTGTCCATCACAAAGCCTGGGATCAGATATTCATTGAACCAACAGTGATTTTGTTAACCACCTCCTACGCCAGTCAGTTTTCCAAGCACTAAATCCAGGCTCCTGTTCTCATAGAGGTTTCATGTTAGTGGAAAGGCAGACTATTAACAGGAAACAAACACATACACATTCAGACCCACTAAAATAGTTGTCA